GAAACCTGGATGCAGGAAGTCTGAAAGTCTTAAAATGCCTCCCAAACCATATTGATATATCAAGTAATTGTTAAATGACTTTTAGTTGACAAACCAGCTAAAAGCTTAGCTGGTAAGACTCTGAGATGCTGCTCTGTTACATGTGCTGCTGACAGTGCTGATCACAAACAGTGGAGTAGGAGCGCCCTCAGCTGGACAGACTACAAAATTTATCAGACCACCACCTAATGTGAGGTTTTACTCTAAATTAGGGATGTCAAGGTCACTTTACATCGAGGGCCACATACAGCCCACTTTGATCTGAAGTTGACTGAACAAGTGAAACTCGGTCAGTGTAAAGAAGTTTCAGTACAAATTTAATCCCTGAGATGTCTTGTTATAAGATTTGGAAGTGCAATTTCAACAATACGCCTCAGTTTCTCTACACGATAAATGTGTAAAATTACAGAAAAGGTTCTGGCAGCTGCCCAGCCTGTCCCGTATCTGTAAAACATGAAGTTTTTGTTGATTCACAGCCACTTTTATTCAATTTTATTAAGATACATTTCCAAACATGGTGAACAGAAGCATGTTTATCTGTTGCTACTTTGAGTGATAATGACTATCAGCAGGAAAATACAGGTAAAAAATTTATGCCCGCCTTTACATTTTCCAAAGGTATCCAGTGGGCCAAAATGCAGTTTTTGCCAGGCCAATTTTGGCCTCTGGGCCTTATGTTTGTCACCCCTTCTCTAAATTAACAGTATTAGTAAATACATTTTAAAAAAAAAATTATATTTCTGATATTTTTATATTTTATGTATGAACTGCCACATAAAGGAGTTGGTGTCGCAGTTTGTTCCAAGAAGGCTGCTGGATTTAGGTCAGTCTTGCAGGCGACACAGAGGACGAGGTGCCAATGTTTTTAGTTTCATCATGTGTGTGTCTGTGTTTTCAGAGAGAACAACCTGGAGGAGTGCGGTGTGGAGCTCTATTTTGCACAGGACATGGAGATCCTCGGGAAGGTTTCCACTCACCAGCTGAAGGACGACGGGGAGAACGAGCTGGTCACCGAGGAGAACAAGGAGGAGTACATCAGGTCAGTAAGCAGAAATGGGGACAGTTGGGCTGATGAAGACGGATGAGCGTAGGAGAAACAAGGTCTGTGGTGGAGAGCAAACCATAAAAAGCAGCCTCTTTGTTCACGCAGCCTGCTGACAGACTGGAGGTTCACCCGCGGGGTGGAGGAGCAAACCAAAGCCTTCCTGGACGGCTTCAACGAGGTGGTGCCTCTGGAGTGGCTTCGCTACTTTGACGAGAAGGAGCTGGAGGTGAGGAAGACTTGTATTTATTGGTATTTAGGCTTAAAATGTCATGAATCCAGCTGTTAGCAGCTCGTTTTACTTGTGTGTGTCTCCCAGCAAAAATCACACCACGTGAAAACGATGCTTCGTGTTTTGCCTGATCGCACCATAATGCCACTCATTTGCACCCCAGGGTTCCACTGAGGATTTAAAGTCACACGGATCAGGATCCCAGTGACACTGATATTTTGTGAATTCAGTGAAAGCCTGAGGCAGTTTAATCTCACACCATGTACTCAAATAAAGTTATTTGAGTGTAAATGTCTCAACCTTTTACCCCGTTAGCTTTTCTTTGAGGGATGGACCTCCCTGCACCCTTATTGAGCCGTTTTGGCACCTCTTTAGAGATCAGTAAAGACGTGGTGTGACGACCATCAGAATAGTTTCCTGGGTTTTCCCCAATCATAGCTCTAGTGAGCTGTATAGGCACAGACCCTCACTGACCTCATATGCAAACATTTTGTTCTGGAAGCAGACCTAAAACGACAGAACTCAGAAAAGAGGAACAGAAGGGAAAGAGTTCATGAGCCAAGAGAAAAACCCCCAAAACAAGCTTCTTTTTTTTTTTGAAAAGTCTGAAATCTCATCCGACTTGAGCTGCAGGAGCCCCGTTTATCAGGAGGAAATGTGAGAATTTGGGCTGTAATCAGTAAAGTTTTATAAAGGACGTCAGGGTTCTGTACCACCACATGCAAAAATGTCTCTGAGCACACAGAGTGAAGTCACATGTGAGTAGTTTAAACTCCAAATTTTAAAGTAACCCCCCTGTCTTTGTCCTTTTTGCAGCTGATGCTTTGTGGGATGCAGGAGATCGATTTGGCCGACTGGCAGAAGAACACCATCTACCGACATTACACCAAGAACAGCAAGCAGATCCACTGGTTCTGGCAGGTATGGGCCTGTAAACACACACACCTACCACGCTGATGCTCCTAGGAAAGCGCTGACCTGAGCGTTTTTTCTGCAGGTGGTGAAAGAGATGGACAATGAGAAGAGAATCCGTCTGCTTCAGTTTGTAACAGGAACCTGTCGGCTGCCCGTCGGAGGGTTCTCCGAGCTCATAGGTACTGACTGCGTTTACAGGGACAGGAGTGTCCTGGTTATGAGGATTCTCCTGGTTTTAATACTGTTGTAAATAGATCTCTGCCTTTGCATGGAGGGACCTGTGATGTTTACAGACACTAACAGGAAATTCTCAAGCAATTGTAAGGAAATTGAGCAGACATTTAGCTCCAAACCAAAGTGCTGAAACAAAAGCTTTTCCATGCTGCTCTGGGAGCTGGAAATCCCAGAGCATTTTCGTAAGATATAATAAAATTACTCACTTTCTTAATCATCTTCAGTTTAAGTTTCTGCTATGCGAGTCGGCAGCATTCAGCTTCCTGTTCAGGGTTTGAGTTTTGTTTGTGTGTGTGTGTCCTGCAGGAAGTAATGGTCCCCAGAAGTTCTGCATAGACAAAGTGGGGAAGGAGACTTGGCTTCCAAGAAGCCACACATGGTAAGATGCTGCCTCGTGTTCTGCTTCTCCGAATCATCCATTTATTCATCGTCTCCTGCTGATCTTATTTAGGGTCGAGGGGGCGGAGCCTGTTCAAGCTTTTATAGGGTAAAAAGCAAGGTGTTTATTGAAGCGCTCCTCTGAAAAACTTAAAAATAGCCTAAGACTAGCAAGGTTACAAACGAGAAGGACAGCTTTACAAACCTCACAGCGCATCACCTGCCTCAATCACCCTATCCCAACATCCTCCTCTGTCACATCAGTCCCTGCATGTCCTCTTTCCCTCCCACCTGGCAGCTCCCTCTTCCACATCCTGTCTTCAGTATATCCACTATCCATCCTCTGCACTCGTCTCTCTAACTTTGTCACAGCCTGAGCTTTTCCTCCGATGTACTCGTTTCTAATCCCGCCCACTTAGCTCACTCCCAATGAAATTCTGAACATATTCAGCTCGGCCTCCTGTTATTTTGTCATCATAGCAGCTCTCGCAACAATCTTATGAACCTATCCTTCTGTCATAAATCACCCCTGACACCCATCTCCACCCTGCCTGCACTTTCTTCTTCACCTCTCTCTACTTAAATCACTTTCCTTAGATTACAGAGTCTTTTCACAGTACAGAGAGCTGCCGCTCTGAGGCTAAAATGAATGTACAAAAAGACATCTGATAGACAGATCAGCAGATTTAACTAAACGTCTTAAAGTGGACTCATTTCACTCAACTTCCAGCTCCAGGTTTTTATTCTGGGACTCTACTAGAGCAGCTTTGCATAATTTAGAATCCTTCTTCACGTTGTAGATGGTCTCTGTGCAGTCCCTCAGGCCATCGTCTGTCTGAAACGAGCAGCTATTCCTGATAAATTCCCTTTTTTAAAGTCACATAGTATTCAGAACCTCCCTGACAAGAGTCACATTTTTATGCATGTTTTACCATCTCAGGACCGCCCCTCTGTCACCTTCTCCTCCTGGATTAGTATCAGGAGGAGACGCTTGTATCTTAGCTGTAACGCTTCTGCTACATTTCGAAGGGAATTCTCGTTTTAAAGTTGAAATTTAAGGACGTGGATTCGGACAGGATTTCAGCTACAAAAGTAATTTCAGCTAAAAATACACATGATCTAAAATGAATTAAAACCACTGAGCAGGGCAGGTAGGATTTAAAACGGTTACTACAGGGGGAAAAATAAAAATCAGGATTTCACTTCCTCTGTTTGAGCTGTGAGCGGCCTGGGAGCGTTTAAAAAATAGACAAATGTCACCCTGAAGTTCCATCTGTAAATCCACGCTGAGGTGTAACTCTGTCTCCTCCTCCTCAGCTTCAATCGTCTGGATCTGCCTCCCTACCGAAGCCTGGAACAGCTCCGAGAGAAGCTCCTGTTCGCCATCGAGGAGACGGAGGGATTTGGACAGGAGTGAGACGAGGAGGCAGAGACGGACGACACTTAAATCGACGAATAGTTTTTTGTTATTGGTCTTATTTTGCGTTTGTTTGTTCATCACAGGGCTGAGGAGTCACCTGTCAGCTAAACAAGCCCTCACCTGGGCGAGGATCATGTTAGTGAGCTAGTGAGCTGAATCATGGGATCAGGCTTGAGGCACAGGAACACAGAAGAGTGAATGCTTACGTGTGTGTGGGTGTGTGTGTGGTTGCTCATGTTAATGCCATTGTGTATTTGCATATAAATGGTGTGTATGTGTGTGGATTAAACAGGATGACCACTCCCCCCCCCTTACTCACTGCTTAGAACCGCACCAAAACCAGACGACATGATAGTTTTAATGTCAGCAGCGACTCACAGCGACAGCACAGCTACCCGCAAATGCAGTACAACATATCTACCAGAGAGACGTACATTTTAAGCATATTAAAGCAGCGAGACGGCAGCGTGTGAGAGGAAGCTGTTATCGTGAACTAGTGCGCCTCTGTTACAGAGGTCAGAGAGATGAGATGCGATTTTATTTTTTCTGTTGATTGTGAAATTCAGTCGATTTCTCCTGTATATAACTCAAATAAATGAGATTTCAGTCATAAGATGTTTGGGTGAGGCTTTCTTTTTAAAATGCTTAATCCAGTGTGAGTGACGTAGGTTCAGCATTAATTGGTTTACTGTGCCGTGCAAACAATTCGAGCCACCCTTTGTTTCTTTATTATCAGACTTTCTTTTTTAAAGTGCTCTTGAGCAATCGTTCTGCAGGCTTTCTGAAGGTTTTTCACAGCTTTTCTTTGGACACTGGCGGCTTTTTCACTTGAACCTGATCATTTCTTTTGTTTGTTAAGCTACTTGACACCAAACTCTGAGTCATTCAAGAATAAAAAGGCACCAAACTCAACCAGTACCAGACAACTTGGCAAAGAAACATTTTAAATGGTATCTTTAGGCACTTTGGTACTAGGAGCATTTTGCAAAGACACATAATTTGTTCCCGTTTCTTTTGTTGAATTTATGAAAAATATCAACGATAACACAGTTTGACAAACACAAGCAAACACTATCAGTCATGGAGTGGCCTCTCCAGAGCTCGGATCTCAATATTATTGAAGCAGTGTGAGATCATTCTGATAGAGGACGGAACAAAAAGGCAGCCGGCTTTCAAACAGGAGCTTTAAATGTCCTTCAAGGAGCTCAGAGAGCTACTCCTGAAGAGTGCTTAAAGAAATAACATGAAAGCAGCCTCAGAGTTCAATCTATGGTGAAGTGTAAAGGTGGTCATCCCAAATATTGACTTTCAGGCCCCTTAGAATTGTACAGAATTGTACTGTTTTTGCCTTATATACTGTATTTCCAGTTGTAAATATGTTTGCACCCATGAGGGGCGGCTCGAGACTTTTGCACAGAAATTACATAATGACTTACAATCATTAAAGTGTATAGAACTTCTTTACAGAGGAAAACTCAAATGATGATGGAGGTTAGCAATGTCCAGATGTCAGATTTGAACTTCACAATAACAATACTGTACTGTTGAAGAAAGATGAAATGATAACCTTACTCAAAATGTATTTTTATGTGTGGTCTATGATTAATTACCCAAAATAGAATATTTATAAAAACATGCTTTGCATAGAAAAATTCACCATGTCACAATTGCTGTCGTGATTGCCATCATTACTGTGTTTAAAAAAATAATCAACGATATTATTGAAATGTTTAGGGAAAATTTTAAAAAACGAACCATCTCTGTAGCTTTGTTTGTGGTTTTTGTTTTTAAAAAAATCGAATAATAAAAATAATATTTTAAAGGTGTTTTACACTGATTATCAAGGGTAGCGGTGTCACCTTTTTACTGACAAGTTTCCTGAGACGACTTGAGGAATGTTGACATATGTTATTTCACTGTCTTTGTAGGGGGGATTACACTCTGCCTGGGCCCCCCAGTTAGAGCTCAGCCCGAAGCAGTTTGAGGTTTGGCCGACTGGGTCACAATAATTGAAAATGCATGTTTGGATGTAACCATGCACGCAAACTTTGAGTGAATCTTCACTCTCAGTCTCCCATTGGCCGTCCAGTTTGTGGCTCTGGGCACAACAGATTATGTCTACAGCGGTGGAAAGACAATACATTTAGTGAGTACGCTGGAGAGGTTTACTTAATCAGCCCACTGGACACAGGTAAGAGGTAAGGATGAGGTGGTTTTGGTGATGTGCAGAAGAGGGTTGGTGGATGTATTGACATAGGGTGCTGAAGAGAGGACTTTTATTGTGAAAGTATCTCTTCCTTTGCTGGGACCGGAAATAACTTCTTCTCGTTCTCATTCGCCGGAAGTGCACCGGAGTTAGTCGCAGTTCTAAATGAAAATGCCACCTTTGTAGTGTTCGGATGACACCGGGACATTAACGGTGAATTTAATCATATCTGAAATGCCTACTGGTGCTCACATCCGCCTTCCCCGTCGCTTTAATGTGGTGAGCGCGGATGAAGTCGCCAAGTTGTGCTACGAGCGTTTCAGTCAGCTTCCCCGCAGAGGGAAGCCTGAGCCGGGCAGAGAGTGGACCCTGCTGGCCGCTGTGCTCCAGATCACCCGCGGAGCTGACTCTCATTCAGGTTGTTCGGCAGGATGGACCAGTCCACTGTTCTGAAACCCCAGTTTCATTCATTTTTTCCCCATTTCTATCAAACGTCACTGCTAAAAAGACATTTAAAGTTTTCTGAAGATGGGGAAAAAGGCTTTAAATTGTTCTGAATTATGTCCATAATGTACATTTCAGCGGACCTGTAGACACTGATATGAGTGAGGTATAGTGATGCGATATTTTTCTTTTTCCATCGCAGTTGCTATGGAGGTTGTTTCTCTGGGAACTGGGACCAAATGTATTGGACAGACCGCCATGAGTCCCACAGGTGTGTGCAGATGGACGTTTTGTGTCTCAAATGCTGAAGGTGTCGATTGTGCAAACCAAATTTTGTTTTCCTTTTTAATTCAGGTGATGTACTTAACGACAGCCACGCAGAGGTCATTGCCAGGAGGGGATGTATCAGGTGCGTGTATGAACCCACCTGTGTCACTGCAGGCTGTTTGACTGTGCTGATTGCATTATGTATATGTATGCGTTTTTATTTGCAGGTACCTGATCCAGGAGCTGCACAGGGCTGTGAGCGGTCGGGGCAGCTCTGTGTTTTGTGCAGCAGATGAGCGAGGAAAGTGGAAGCTTCGGCCCAGAGTTTCCTTCCTCCTTTTTACCAGCCACACTCCCTGTGAGTGTCAGCACACAGGACAGCGACAATAACGAATACAGTTACACACAGCAGAAAGTAGATGGAAAGAAATCAAACCAGATCTGTGTTGCTCACACAGAGAGCGGCTAGGTTATCAGCTGTAGTTACTGTGAGTTAATGTGAGGTAGTTTGGTAACTTACCCAGTTTAGATTTATTCTGTTTTTTGATTACATAACCCATTCTAGCAGAGTGTAATGCAGGTCTTTATAAATGATAACATGTAATAACCCCTGTTTGTGCCAGAGATGCAAACAAATAGCCTGAAAAGTCTTTCAGCTCTTGAGCTTTGATGCAGAGTTGATATGGCAACAGTTAAATATTCACCACTGATAACATTTAACATCCCCTTATTAAGCAGTAAACCTAAATATTAGTCAGCAGCGGCATTGTTAGCCGATAAATAATAAAGATGCATTTCTGATAAGGATTGTTAATGTTTAACTCTCCAACCTCTTTATGGTAAAATTAGTTCCATGAGATGATGAATAATTGAGGACTTGACATGATTATTCTTGTTTGTGAAGGAAGTCAGTCCAGCCTCATGCAGAGAACAGGGATCATTTGTGATAAAGCACATTGCGCTATAACTGAGACCGGCACAGTTCTGTGGGAAAGTAATTCTCAAATCATCGTTGCTCACCTGCTTAATCATCTCTGATTTACACGAAACTTTTATGGTCCAAAGTTTGGACATGTGTAATGATTGCTGTGAAATTTCAGCTTTATATATCAAAAACTTCACAATATATATATAGTTTTTAAACTGCAGCACTATATACATATAAACAGTATTAACAGAAAAAAAGTAAATATGTATTGCACAATGGTTTATAGAGGAAAATGGGAAAAACGTTGCGGCGAAACGTTGAGAAAGCACCGAGTTTTTTAAATGGACTGACAATGAGGTGGAGTTGTTGCTGCGAGTAACGCAAAAGTACAAAGTTGCAAAAGCGAGTGAGAATTAAAGAATTTGAAGAAAAGCTCTCTGGAGCATGTACGGACTGATATTAAGCTTTAATAGGGCTGTCAAAAGTTTTCGCTGTCCACACTGCGACACATAAAGCACCGTTTTCAAATTACGCGTTTTCGAGAGCGTTTTCCATGAGCGAGAACGCCGTCTCAGTGTGGACGGGAGGCCAAAACGGAGAGAAAATGATGCGTTTTCAAACTAAAACGCATTAGTGTGGACGTAGCCTTACATTGTAGTATTTGTTATTAGCTGTGAGGCGTTTGCAGGCGCTTTCTTTTCTGTTGTCTTTCAGACTATATGCATTCTACCTTTAACCATACCTTTATCTGTCTTGGCTTTAATCATGCAGAAGTGTGCCCTCATGCCATTTGTTTGTCCGATCTGAAACCAGGCGGCGACGCCTCCATCATCCCCATGACTGACAGCCAGCCTCAGCCCTGCCCTCCTGTCACGTCAGTAAAGGGCCATGAACAGACTGATGGAGGAGGAGACCTGAAAAGGAAAGCAGAGGAATCCGGCGAGGAGCGAATCTCTAAGCAGCCTCATCTGGAGGAGACGGCAGAGACAAAGGAAGAGGACAGAGGAGACACAGAACAGCGTGGATCGCTGAACTTTAACAAAACATTGGAAACATCCTCACAAACCAGCAGCTTTGCAGTCTTGGCTCAAACTGATGGCACTGGCCTGCATCATCAGGTCTCAGACATTCACAGAACAGGGGCCAAGTGTGTACCGGGTGGCCCAGCTGACCCTCTGCAGCCTGGGGTGGGGTATCACAGTCCGGGCGTTCTCCGGGTAAAGCCTGGCAGAGGAGAGCCAACTCTCTCCCTCTCCTGCAGCGACAAGATGGCCCGCTGGGGGGTGCTGGGCTTCCAGGGTGCACTGCTGACCCATTACCTACAGGAGGCGCTGTACTTCAGCACCGTGGTGGTGGGAAAGTGTCCATATGACCAAGAAGTCATGCAGAGAGCTTTGGTCACAAGGTAATGCTGAACCGGCTGCTTTATATTTTTATTAGTTATGCGCTGTGAAAACTTCACCTAAACAGATATAGAGCCAGATAGAGATATTGAAGGTTTATGTAACAGTTCCAGTCATGACCAGCATGTCAAGGATCCTCCTTGATGTAAAACAACGTTAGGTTCAATTAGAGAGAGCTAAATGCAGCAGATATTAATGAAAGTGAAATGAGTGCAATGACTTCACAGTTCAGTCTGGTTTCTGCCAGAAAAACGACCTGTTTGCAAACAGTTGCCTTTCAATGAACGAAGACACGTCCTCTCCACCAACTCCTGAGAGAAAAAACTGCTAAATGGTGAACTTAATTCTTCAGCTATTTTGCCAACTATCTAAATCATTGAATTCAGGTGTTCTAGTCACTACATGTGGCCTTCAGATTAGCTCAAGAACAGTTTGCAGAGAGCTTCATGGAGTGGGTATCTATGGTGGAGTAGCTGCATCCAAGCCTTACGTCACCAAGTGCAATGCAAAGCATCGGTGCTGTAAAGCATGAGGCCACTGGACTCCAGAACAATGTTGCATGTTCATGCTACCCTGTCTGTAAATGCGACAGACAAGTCTGGGTTTGGCGGTTGCCAGGACAACGGTACCTGTCTGACTGAATTGTGCCACGTGTAAAGTTTGGTGGAGGGCGGCGGTTATGGCGTGGAGTTGTTTTGGAGGAATTGGGCTCGGCCCCTGCATGCCTCAGCACACCAAGACTGTTCCTGTTTGGGGATGGCCTCTTCCTTCTCCAACATGGCTGCGCACCAGTGCACAAAGCAAGGTGCATAGAGACATGGATGAGCTAGTTTGGTGTGGAAGAACTTGACTGGCCTGCACAGAATCCTGACCTCAGCCTGACAGAACCCCTTTGGAGCGAATTAGAGTGGAGACCGTGAGCGAAGCCTTGTTGTTTTAAGCAGAAGAGACGAGCTGTTCATCCTTTTGTCTCCTGGGAGACGAGCCTTACAGAAGATTGGATCAAAGAGTTCACATTTGGAATTTTTTTTTTTTGCGTTTTTCTCTACTCATTTTGTCATGTTTGATTATAAATTGAAGAGGATCTGGATTTCTGTTGTTTTCCTGCTAGATTACAGCTTCCAAAGAATTCCACTGATGTCCTGCAGATGATAACTTTGAGCAGATTTGGATTTCCCCTGTATTCCTCTGGGATTATTTATGTCAACACGAAACAGAGATAAGTGCATCGTCTCACCTGGATGTGCTCATTATTTGGTCAATCTCTCTCAAAATCAAACAAAACCAGCACTAGCTTAGAGAAGTTTATTGGATACGTATGATTCAAGAGATTTTTTTGGCTCTAGTTCGCTCCTGCTAAATTGCTTTGGTAAAACATCCTGCATTCAAAAAGTCTAAAATGTGGTGTTAGGTAATATATATATAATCTTAAATGCTTTTATGCTGATTATTATTGGTTTATATAAGAGAGGCCCAGACTTCAGTGTAAAACTAGGTTACAGGCTGACCAGAAACTGCATGTTTTTTGTAGAATATGAGGAACTGACAGAGTGAGACTAAGTCTAGACAGGTTGCCCTGGCAACAGACCTTAGAAAGGGGAAGTTATTGCAAGCTGCACAAGAAGTTTTAGTGCACAGGCATATTAATAAATCAGACACAGAAAAGAGGAACTGAATAGAAGAAGTTTTGTTTGTAATGAAACTGTGTGTGACGTCGAGAGGTACATAAAGAACCTGGCCTCCTGTTTTCTGCTTGAGACTGGCTGATGTGAGCAGGCGTTTCTGTGTGTGCTCAGTCTCCATATCCCGGGATATGTAAGATTAAAGATCATTTTTTAAAGTAAAAGACCGCTTTTGAGCTGTGTCTTTTTGGCCCTAAGAATCAAAAGAACCGTTTTAACAGTGGACACTTCCTTTTTAACCTTGTGTGAAACCTCAAAGGTAAAAATCTGCATTTAATTAGAACGTCACTCAGTGGGTTCTTACATGTTACTTTAACCTTAAAAATGAACAGATCCTTGGGGCTTAATTTTCCAAGCTACTGCATTTAAACCAGTCAGTTACCAAGTACACAGATTTAGAGGAGAGCTGCTGGTAATGGGTGTGGCTGAAGAGGAAGCGGGCTTAGCCACCCTGGCAAGCACGCCTTCAGGATCAGCATCCGGAGGGCTGAGTACCAGTTTGAGCTGGGTGAGTCTCCTCCCTGGCTCCATCTAAGCTGTGTTTGCCTACTGGGTAATGCTCATGGGATTCAGAGATTAGGACTTTTAAACAGAGCCAGTTCCAGACCTTCCTGTATTTGGGATTCCTGGTCAAAAATTCCCATTAACACACTCCTACATTCCCAGAAATGTTGAAGTGTATAGTTGCAAAGGGTGAGCCAGCATCATATTAAGCCCCATGGATTAAGAATGGGATGTCACTCAAGTTCATATGCACGTGAAAGCAGACGAGCAAATACTTAAGACAGCATAGTGTTCTTGTTGCAGTGTGCATGTTGGACAGGCACCAACTGGTGCTGGTTTAAAAACCACTTCCTTGGGCCGTATAACCAGGATATCTTTCCTTTATCTGCCTTCTGACAGCCTAACATCTGTAATCGGGCTAAGTGGTTACATCAAGGTAGCTGTCAGTTTGTGTGATTATCACTTATTCACACACAATGAACTCTTTCACCCATGAAGATAATGCATTTTGACGCCTCAGTATGCAACAATAAAGAACTGCTTTGATATCACTTTAATCATGTGGGAATTTTCCAGCTGCTAAATTCTGTGGAATTTAGTGGAACACCTGCAGCACTGCAGGTGTTAGGCAGTGAATAGTCTTCATCAAATCAGACCACACTCAATTAAATGCAGTGCTTCTGTGCCGTCAGGTGCGCCTGTGTATCGGACCTCCCTGCCGGTTTCGCCGTACGTCCGCCTGAGCTGCTCCAGGCCACGTTGGAGTTTCCTTTCAGCCAAGCCCAAACTGAGCTCCAGCACCAGGCCGGCCAGGGCCGCATCTCCCCCTGCGGGGCAGGTAGGACTGTCCACATGAAGTTAAGTTGTGAATGAGAAGAAATGTTTTGAATGAATACTCATTTCCTGTCTGTTTACAGCTTTCACATTCAGAGCTTTCAGAAAGATTCTGCAAATTATTTGTAAGTGCCAAAAAACTAGATGTCAACACTTGACATCAACCATCGACTATCCCTAATTTAGTCATCTCAAAGAAGCCACACCCACCTGCAGCTTAGACCTTCTGTTTGTGAGGATCACCCAATCGGGAAATTGCTTTAGTTCCTCCACTTGCTTTAGTGGAGGAACTGAGCATGAGATGAGAAAGGATTTCAGATCAAGAGTATCTGCTAGACTCAGGGTGTCTGCCTCGCTGCAGGCCTCTCTCAGTTTAGGTCCAGTTTGCAGCTGTCTCTTTCTGTTAATGGTATCAGTTTTTTAATAATAATAATAATAATGTATACTTTATTGATCCCCGTGGGGAAATTCCTCTCTGCATTTAACCCATTCACTCAGTGAAGCAGTTTTTTACGGTTTCAATTAAAGTTTTAATTGTGTTTAAACTGCTCCAGCACTGAGCTGCGATCTCGGTGTGTATCTGAGGTTTGCTCCCTGTGTTTCAGCCATCAGCTGGTGTAACGTAACAGAGCAGCCACTAGATGTCACCGCTAACGGCTACAAACACGGAGTCACCAAGAAGGCCCTGGGAACAGCAAAAGCCAGGTAGAACCAATCCACTGTCATCATACATGAGTACCATGTGAGTTTGCTGTGTTCTCAAACATCCCGGCGTGCTTCTCTGATTTCAGGTCTCTTCTGTGCAAATCAGAGCTTTTTCATTCCTTCTTGTCTTTGGTGTCGGCCACCGATCCCTCGGCTCTCCCCGACTCTCTCAGGTAACAAACAATTGGCTCTTTCAGAAACTCGCTGCAGCTTTTGAGAACGCTCCTACGAGAGCTGCAATATTTGAAGAACAGTGCAGCTTCTCTCAGTTTGTGCAACTCTCATTCACATAAAACTACGTGCACCAATCACTAAGGAAATGTTCACATCACTGTGAAATGTTCATTACTGGAAATCGTGTTATGCAATCTGACTGTTACGCTCGTATTAAACAGGTGGGGTTGGTTTGAATTCCTCAGTCTTAGATTTCCAGCCTGCTGTGGGTTAAAATGTTGTGTGTGCACTTTTTCAGACTTGTGTGCTATGCTGCTGCTGATTGGCTTCATGTTTACTGATCACTTTATGAAGTTATCAGGTGATTTTTGATTTTTTTTCTATTAAGCTTTCGTATTAAGGCTTCATCAAGCAGTGACCTTTAGCTTGCACTGGAGCAAGTTTGTAATCGAGTCTGAAGTGACTGAGCTCAGAGTTAGCAGCTTCTCCAAATCTAAGGCCATGTGGATCACACATGAACCAGGTTAGGTGGAGAAGGGTGCTGTTCCTTACCTCACTTTTGGCCATGAGTTTTGGGTAGCGGCTGGACTTCTGCAGGTTTCGGGCTCTCCTTTAGAGATGAGCTGAGGATGTGGTGTCCAGCTGTGAGGAGATTAAAGGGCCAATCCAGGACATGCTGGAGGTACTGTTTCTCTTGGCTGGTGCCTTTGTTCTGCTCTCATTTTGTTACCTGTTAAACTATGGATAAAACCACCACTGTGGTGCAGTCATGCCAGGCTGTTGCCAAATAAAGGACTGTCCAAGGCTGCTGCGGTTTCATGTTGCACTCGACAGGAATCTGTAAGGTTTTTTTCTGTGAAAATTGGTCCTTGCAGTTGAATCCCTGGCTGTGTACTTATATTAAGCCTGTCACACGGCTACTTTGTTTGCATCGTCTTTGTTTTTGGAGATCCTGTCACATAGTGTGCTGTGCTACATTTATGTGGAAGACTGGCTTCAGGATGACAGTAGATCTCTTGAAAATGAATCTGAGAAAATGAAACTCTGATGACTAACAATGGAGGACAAAGGTCCTTGTGTTTGTCAGAAAACCTGATACGGCCCACACACAACAGACATATTGTAAACACTCACACTCAGCTCAGCACAATGACAGGACTTAATGACAAAGGTACGTCCGAGGAGGAGAAACGGCAGACGAAGGAGGAAGTTGCAGCTGAGGGAAATCAATCGTTAATCTGCCTTTTGAGAGCCAGTCCTGATCACTTTATCTACAAGATGTTCTTCTTTACTACAGTGGCTCAAGTAACCACGGTAACCAGCAGATATTTGAACAGTCTGTTTCTCCTATCTAACCTAACACACAGTAATCCACTTTCTCCCTTTGAATGATGTATCTTGAATCTTTATTACAGAACTTAAACTTCAGCTCATTTTACGTGCTAACAGGTTGTAGCAGCAATCTGCACGAACAGTTTCAGCCAATGGGGGTTTTTTTGTACTTCTGTAGTGGTTTAAAAGTAACTTAGAGTAATAATTTTTGCTTCTTGCTTTACATCGAGGATTTTCTTTTCTTACATGTGTCCAGGAAAGCAGAGCTGCAGACCTACTGGGACTACAAGCAGGCCTCCCAGTCGTACCAGCAGGCCTGGCAGCAGCTGCGCAGTCAGGCATTCCCTCTGTGGCCGCGCAGTGACAGAAACCTCCTCCTCTTCCACTGACAACTCACTCTCGACAGGCTTGATGACAAAGCAGCTTTGTTGTAGGAGAAACTCAGAGGTCAAGGGTCGCCCAAGGTTTGACCTTGTGAAACTCGGATTTCAAACATGCTGCAGAGAACAGAAAGGATTGCGGCACCCTTTTAATGAAAGGACAAGCTTGGCTTCTTTAATTTGCGCTGTCTTTTTCCTCTCTTCCTGTGTGTGTGTTGGCTCAGCTGGTCTGCTGTGCCGGTTCGCCTCAGCAGGACGCTCTGCGCTGTCACGCTGTTTGAAACTGTTGGTAATGCAGCACACACGATGGCTTATTTTCACAGTGCATGTCGTGGCTCCAGCTGCCTGGTGTTCTTAAAAACGCACAGCCATTTATACCTGCACAGGAAAACACAGCCTCCAGTCTCACTCCTAGTTTGAATGCGTCCTGCACTAAAAACATGAAGATACTCCTGAAGTCCCAGACTATGTCAAAATTTGGAATCAAAGGAATTGCTTTAGTTGGTTTATCAGGTTGAACTGGCAAACTGTGGGAAAAGCTTTCTAATTTCATCGTAAGGAAACGACCAGCAGTTACTTTCTGGCAGTGGTTTGAACCCTGCAAAGACGTTTTCGCACCAGTTTGTTAACTCGGCCTGTGTAGGACACATTGTTGTGAAGAAAAAGGTAAAGCTGCACATTTCTGCACAAACAGTTAGGTCGTTCATGCAGGACCACGGTGCAGGGACAGAGGATCGGTTCAGTTGGTGATGTGGCTCAGCTGATTCCTGCTATTTCCTCTCTGCTAATGACAAACAGCACATGGTGGCTTATGTCCAGGATGCCTTCAATTTTCTCATTCTTCAGCGATTTTGAGCTGTTTTCGTCACATCCATCGTAGAGATGTAGAGAACTGGGCTGCAAGCTCGTCTGTAGCTCAGGGGAAAAATAACCACAGGTCATGGCATATGGCTGCCTCTCCCTGCACCTGGTTTCTTCCTGGTAAAAGGGAGTTTTTCCTTCCCACTGTCACCAAGTGCTTGCTCATAGAAAGCTGTGTGTTTTCTCTGTATTATTATAGAGTCTTTACCTTTCAATATAAAGCACCTCATTGTGTTTTGTGTGCTATATTAATAAAATTGAATTAAATTCTTTATATTGTGTGTTTTTAAATATATGGATAGTTGCATAAATAAACCTGAGGTTAATGCAAGTTTTCGGTTGGATTTTTTTTCCCTTGGCATGAGGGGATTCATTGTAGTTCTTTTCCATTAGAGAGAAAGCTGATGTTTCCAGAACTGCACAATTCAATAATCAGATGAATAAAAGCACTACAAGCCAAGGGAAAACAATATCAATCATAGTTTAGATTCAAGAGAATCTTTTAACAGCTTCATAATTTTTGTCTGTGAGCGTTGGACTAATACAGAAAAAGCAGAGTTTTGTATTTGAAGTATTGATTCAGCCCAGGAGGTCCGATTAAACAGACCTTACAGGAAAACTGAACCAGGGGCAAACGCTCACTTCTTTAGACACACCTTGACCCCTTTTGCCTTCAGAGGTGCCTTAATTCTGTGTGGCATTAATTCGACAAGGTGCTGGAAACATTTCCTGAAGAAAACCACCCACAGTCACTTGAATCACCCATTCTGATGCCCAGTTTAAACTTCAACGGGTCATCTTGACCCTAAATACACAGTTTCTGCCACGTGAGTGGCTGATTAAGCCAGTAAATGTATTTTGCAGTAGTTAGACTTTAAAGGGTCCACGGCCACGGCCGACTTCGATATCACTGAACCTGAAGAACATGAATATCTGTCACAGATAATGTGGCACACAGTATTTGACAAATATTAGGATAATTTATTTATAAACTCTGACTCAGTAGATTAATGATCACTTCTGTGTATCTATGTGTGAATCTATTCCACTGTGATGTTTCCCAGTTGGAGCTTCAAGAGAATAACTCATGTTATCAGCAAAGACTATGGATTTATTAGAAAGACCAGGGGCTTGAGGGAAATAAATGAGGTGATGCATTTTAAGAGCAACAGTATTTAAAACTGTCCCCTTTAAAAAGAAGTGAGCTTGAACTCCGCTGTGAAGGCGTTGGATTGAAAACTTCATGCTTTTCCAGTAGATTAAGTCTGAAAGGTGAGGGCTAATGAAGTTAATCTACGTTGATGCATTATAAGACATAAAGTATAAAAAAAACTAGGAAATGTCAGCTTTTGCTGCATGGAGCATTTTTGTGTTACATCTTTTTACAAGCCTGTCAACACGATCAGTGCTCATCATTAAATCTCTAGGTTTTTATTAAAGTGGACGATTCTGCCTTTAATTGTGCGCCTCTTCCTCGGACCCCCTTACATCATCATGTAGTGTTTATGTGTATGGAGCATTAAAAATAGGGACACAGCTGTGAAACTCTACAGTGCAACCACCAAGTCAAAGACCGCACCGTAAATTTTACATTAGTTTTTATTGGTCAGGTCTTCCAGCTACCTTCCCTTTATCAGATATCTAAAATTTATTTATGTCTTTAAGATATGTTTTATATTCATACAACACTGATGAAATAAGAATTACCAATGCATATTGCACAACATCAGACAGTGAACCAGCTTTGTGGAGCGCTGACATGGAAACTGCAACGAGGTCAAATGATGGGTGGAAACCAGCACCAGAAACTACAGGTGCAACTAAAAGTTCAGCCTCAGAGTCATCCATAGACGCTCTGCAGTGGACGGACAGGCGTAACTTTCAGGTGTGCAAAATGAAGCCAGTGCGAGTCTTAAACCTGCCAGCAGGAGGCATCTCCTCCGGCCATAAGTCTGTGTGTATGAAACGTCATCCTTTGGCTCCATTGGTCTTTGAATTTGTTAAACTTTTTAAATACAAGTTTATTATCTCAGTTACAAGCTTGAAGTCATATTGAATGCAACGTGAGAGCTGAGAGATCAAAAGGCTGTGAATGCTTTGCAGACAAACAACACTTTACTTGAAGTTAATGACAAAGCACGGCGCGTCATTTCTAAACGCAGGTTTCACTCCAGCCATGTTTGCAAGCTAAAAATAGAGTGGGACCTCCGTGTTTATTAACCCGATAGTTCTCCCGTTGTTTTAAAATTCATATTTAAATCTCATGACACATTCAGAAAAGATTCTGTTGAATTGTAAGTTTTTCAATCACTTTATGGTGATTTTTTTTGTCACATTTTTCATTTTTTAATACTGTTTTTTTAATCCTTGCCCCTATAAATATAGTTTTACTTACTTAATTACTTTTTTTAAGTAAACCTGAATACATCCTTCAGCCCTGGTTTTAAGTGTGTTTTCTGAGTAGCCAAGAAGTTTCCGTTTTAATGACGATTTCATCCTTTCGGCTCTTTACTGTCCATTTTTTGAGCTCCCTAAAGTGAAATGGTGCAATGCACTGAAGTGTAAATCCCAGTTATCACAGCTCATTAATAACACAAAAGACACAGCAGGACTCGCGCAAAACAATTTAATTACAGATCTGTGAATATTCAATTCCCAGTCACATTTCATGAGGGATGAGGTTTCTCAGAAATAAAAATCGCAAATAAATAGCGAGCTCTTTATTATTGTGGTTAATGAGCCCATAATTAAATGTTAAACAGGATTTAAACATAAACGTTCACACGAGTTTAATACAATTCAAATAGCTTTACTTTTTAGATAAATGTCACACAAGGACTCGACTGCACCTCAAGACACAGGTAGCAAAAATAAAACACTGAATGCTAAAATTTAAATATTGGATTAGAAAAAGAAAAAAGAGAGAAGTTCACCCACAGCTGTGAACTGCAGTCACCTCCCGGCCGCTCACGCTTGCGCACGCTGGCTACGACGGTAACGCGACACTCCGGTCATCCATGTTGCACGGTGACAGACCAGCACATGTGCAAATCTGAGTGTGCAGTGACAACAAAGTTGGCAGGAACATGAAACTCTCAGTGCTAAATATACACCGCAGCTGAGTGTGAGCAGCTTTAATTTCCCGCTCAACCATAAATCGATGGTTTTTCAATGTGATTGTTGTCACCTTGTCAACTATAAATAGATCAACAATCAACGATGACAGAACAACAGTGAATCAATGTTATTTCAATGTCAGTGTCAGGTTTCATCGGTATTTCAATGCTGTTTCAACATTGGTTTTGTGTTGACATTTCCATCCTGACGATTCGGATGGTTCAGATGGAAAATCAACATCTGTTCAGTGTCTCCTTGCTATCTGGGTGCGGTCAATATGTTTGACTTGTACCATTACATCATTTATATTTAGCTAAACTCATTCACAGGTTATTATGAATCAGGGGGAAATCAGAAGACTGTTGGAATATTTTATTAGTGCTGTCAGTGTAATATTCATAGAATAACTCCCACTGAACATTTCAGAACTTAATGGGTTTGAACAGAAATGTTACATTTTTAAAAGTTCAGTGAATTAATAATAATAAATACCGAAGCTTCGGTTGTTTGTGTCTCTAAATTGAGGAAATATTCATTAAGGTTTTATTAAGTATAAGGTTGTTTTGTCATTAATTGTATTTTGTTTATATGTTGTTGTTTTTTCTGACGGTATTTTAAAACTTCAAGTAAAGTGTTGGATTTTTTGAAGCAGTTCAATGAATTCGTGTTTATCCAGCACAACATCCTGTGCGGAGAGACTACCGTCGGGCTGGGGCGGTCTCGGTAACATCCCGAGGAGTGGCGCCGGCTAACATTCACGTGCTTATGACCAACCTTCAAGCCTATCCTGGGCCTTCTAACGAGTATCTTTTGTCTTGTGGTGAACATTTCATACATGATATGATGAGCAATACAAAGAATGCGGGTAAGTATTCTAGTCACAGGATTACTGCGTCTCTTTCTCACTTCCACTGAACATAAATATCTGTGACAACAAATAAAATGGAGCATGACTGTGTCACATAATGATTGGTTTGTGCATGCGTGTGTGTGTGTGTTTATTAACAGTGCCAGGATGATGAATGGTATCTGAAGTGGCTTTAATGTACATGACTGTTATTCAGATTCGCGGCAGTGTTAAAGATAATTCTCTCAGTAACTGGCCTTGAAACGGAGATCATGATAAAGTTCAGCGTTTGTTTGTTTGTTTGTTTGTTTGTTTTACATCATCCAAGCATCTGGGGAAAAAAGTTTGTTTATTGTAGCAAACTCGCATCATAAATGAGCAGTTTTAAGTATCAAAAGCTGATCAGAAATGCGAGTGCCAAATGTGTAGGTGCGTTACCTGTGTAACACATGTAAAGGCCGATTTCTGAAGCACTATGCACCAGTATATGTTAAGCCCTAATGTGTCGGTGTGTTTGGGGTTTTGTGTGTGTGTGTGTGTGTGTGTGTGTGTGCAAGCGTGTGAGAGAGAAACTAGTAATCAGTTATGCATTAACCCTGTGCTGTATAAAAGGCCTTGTAACCAAAGGTGTTTTCTCCGCTGTAGGCCACGTACAGAAAGCCGTCCTCGTCCTTCTCCTTGTCGTACAGCTGGCCCATCGTCAGACTGAAACACAGTAAATACCGAATAGTTAGATGATGCACAAAACAGAGTCAGACATGTCTACAGGCTTTACCTAAAGACAGATTCGACACCATTGCATTACTGCGCCGAGTGTTTATGCCACCTTCATCTTTTTGTTTTGAGACGTCATGAGTGTGAGCTTCTGAATAACATGCTGGAAGACGGCTATCGGATATCCTGGTTTCTGACTCATATCATGACCATAATTATTAAATCAACTTGATGTTTTACTCAGTATCACTTCAAACTACTTTGAGTTAGCCCATTAAGTAATCAGGAACGTGAAGTCGCAGAGCAAAGAACCTCAGGAGTCGCCCCCTGCTGGCAATTAAAACAAATGCATATTGTGGAATAGATTCACTTTTAGGCCAACACTGTATAAAAAAAGGCCTGGGCAACAAACACATTACACCGACAGAAGCTCCTCGGCCTTGGAAACCCGTATCATTAAGCTCCTGGTGCACAGTTAATGTGCTGATGCCACAGGACTGAAATTCAATGAGACTGAAAACCGGATTCAGAAGCTGAGCCTGAGGTGTGGCCCAATACTAGCTATGTGCATTCTTTATATATAGTGCACAGGTATATCAAAATCCTTCTTGAAGCAACTCTCACCACTCTATAGTGACCTTGGTAATTCCACCCAGCAGTTATTTGGGCAGCTCCACCCTGGAGGAACAGATATAAAAGTAATTTGAAACTGTAATCTAAGTACCAGGATTTAACTGCATGTACTGAGATTTTGTAGACACAAGTTGATATGTGATGATAACTTGTCTGTGGTTTTGGGCATTTGACAATCATTCTAGCAAATGTTCCTCCTCAGGGTTCATGCGGGAGATCTGTGGATAGACCCACTGCCAACCCAAAAGGGCAAACCTGCTACGGGCTAGCCTAGTTTAACCCTCAAGGCCCAGATCGTGGTTTTCTGTGGGGAACCAATGATGGGTTTGCCTGCACTTTTCACACTGTTCAAAGTTAAACTGCAGAAGCAGAACTGCAGACCGTGTGCCTTTAAAAGTAAAAGTTAGCTGCAGCGTTTACTTTAAAGGTGGGAACTGCGTCGATTTTACAAGAACAACAACTAGTAATTACTGAGAATTACCTGGGAAATCTGCCAACCAGTCTAGCATTGCACATTTCCCTAGCAACCATATATCATATATGTCATGTCATATATGACAAAGACCTGAGCAATGTTAAGCCCTACTGTGTCGGTGTGTCTAAATTTCATTAGACTCACTGTCAAATCTGATAAAAACTACAGGCCGTCTGTTTAATACCTTCAATGGGAGCGTGAGGTTGAGAGCTCAGCGATTACAGCCAGATGCATGTTTTTGCAACATGAACATGAACATTCCTCACAACAGCTGATTTACGTGTGGAATAAATTCCTCATAAAAAATGAATTTAAGTTTTAAAAATAAAAAAGAGCCGCTAGTGGTTCTTCCTTCTGGTTCCATTTATCAAAGCTGTGGACTGTAGGAGCTGTGCTTCTGAAACATCTTTGACATCCTCTTGCTAAACAACTACTTGGAGCAACCACATCAGTAGAGACGATGCCAAAAAACGTTGTCCCAGAGCCAATCTTTTTTGTGGAACTGGTTCTAGATTTGGCTCCAGCACTATTGCTTTGTTAGTGAAGAGGTGGCATACGTGCTGTGGCTAGACTTTAATAAGGAGAGCAGTATCAGCGTGCTAAAAAGCACTCAGAAGCAGATTCCTTTGATAAGCCGCCTCTCTCTGATCCCATCCCGTCCCGCCTCCACCAGTCAGAGCAGATGGCTGCACCTACTTGTTTCTGATGGACACTTCTTCCTGTTAACAGGGAGTTTGCCCTCCCCACTTTTGTCAAGTGCTTCCTGATAGGGTCCCTTGTGATTGCTGGGGTTTCTTTCTAATAATGCAGGGTGTTAACCTCACAATATGAAGCACAATGAAGTGACTTTTGTTAGAAATTGGTGCTATATAAGTAAAACCGGATTTAATTGAATAAACGACGAATAGATGAGAGACTTTCACGCTGCCTTATGAAAGAAAGTACAGGAGCATAAAGAGCATAAAACAGCTTCTTCCCATCGACCATCAGGCTACTCAACACTCACACCTAGAAAACTGCTGATCCCTGTGCAATATCTACCTTAAGTGCAAAGCACTATAGTAAAAATAATATATGGTGGAGAGTGATGTGTCATGATTTAGAAGATGAATCATCGTGAACATAATTCAATGACCACTAACAATTACGGTGGACAATAACACGTCCACGTTAAGTTGCGCTGATGAATTGAATTATTTAACATTAGCTTCACCACTACGTGAGCTACATGGATATTCTTTGCCTCTCTGAAAGGACTGTGACAGCGAGCTCTGTCTGTCTGGGTCAATTTGAGGAATTTACATACACATTACCTCCTCTCTTCATTTCTTGTGCTTTTTCATGGTCTTTTATGGTTGATGGTGTAGCCACAGAAGAGAATTTTCTTCTAATACATACAGTATCACTGTTTTTAGTATTTACAGCTGTTTAGTGCCGGTAGGACACGTGACCCAAGGGCAACTAAACACAGGACAGCAAAGTGTCCAAAGAGGAGCAGTGTTTACACAGACATGACTTCTTTCTGGTGAATGGGAGCAACGCACAGAACTTAGAGGAGAGAAACAAAGTATCGACGCTATCGCACTAGTATCGCTCCAATACCAATACCAGCGCTGGTATCGATACTACCGATATTTGGATCGATCCACCCTTGACGCCCCCACCCCTTCTATAATATTCACCTACCTCTATTATTTCCATCTATTCCACTGTTTACCCATACCATTGATAAAGCTGCTAACATTAGGATTAGCCCCTATGTACTTGGTGTTTTAAATTATGATAATATATTACTCTTTTATTCTTGTTCATGTTTGTCTGTATACACCAAGTTCAGCTGTGCTTCCAGTTTCTTTGTTTACTTAACCTTACAACAACCATGAAGCTTATTCCATCTTAAAACTGGTGAACGTTTTGATCGAGGTGAAAGTGTAGCTTCAGACTCGAATGGAGCTGGATAAGAAATACTTCTACATACGATCCTGCTCATCAGTTACACAAGATGAATGGTTAAACACGTTTTAGGGAACACACAGTGCGCACATTACAGCTTTGATAACGTCAGGCTGTTGATCCCGGGTAAAATGTGGCTAACAGATTTTAAACATATTTATTTTTATGTATTTATTGCAGAAATTTTGCTGTAACTATGTAATGAATTCTGGCGATATGGCCAAAAACCACTAAACTCGAATCAGTTAATTCTTGGTTCCCAGGAGACATCTGAGTGAGGAGAACAGATGCTAAAAAAATCAACGTAACTCACATTTCTTTCTTAAGCTACGACTACAGAGTACAATTCATGCAATTCAAAGTAAATATTAACAATATACAGCATAAATATTTATTTCAAAGGTATTGTTAAACTCAAAAAAAGTTCAAATCATCTAACACATTTACATTCAATAAAATTATCGAGAAGAATGTGTTGGCACAAGGTTTTTTGGTCTCTGTGGTGCACACTCATGAGTTTGACCTTTAAATCTACTGACTTGCTGCAGAACGCAGCGCACTCTCACCTGGACTGGGGGACCGTTTTGTCAACAAAGAGGAAGATGGCTTTCTCTGAAGGCAGCTGGATGCGTTTCCTGATGATCCACATGAACTGGGCCACAGTGATGTCAGAGGGCACCAGGTACTTCCTCTTATCTATGTCCACTATCTGAGAGCCAGAAACCTTCTCCACTATCACCTGGAGTGCACACATTAACAGACAAATGCATTCTTACACACTGTGGTCATGCTGTGTGTGGGCCACAAATCTCCCAATACTGTAGCAAACACCTGCACTCCCTATCTGAAAGCTTCTGGCTGACCATTAAGCTTAGCCTTACAATAATGTCTGTGAGTGAAGGTGTAAGAACATGTGTCACCAGTACGCCCTCAGCAGCAAGGTCCTTGTAAGGTTTTAAGGTGTGTCACAATCCATGGCTGATAGTCCTTCTTCTATCCACGTATGTTTTTATTGCATTTGCAATTTTCACTGGCTGAATGCAACACCAAACGTCACAGAGCCATAACTGTGGCCCATCCCAGCTGCCATAGTGCGAGAGGTAGAGTGTGCCCAGGCTGTCGCTGCGTCTGTGATGCACAACATCATTAAAGGATTCAGACAAAGGAGGGAAAATCCCACTGCACAAGGGACAAGGCTGAAAACTAATTTTAAATTTTGCTCTCTGGGGTCCTCATGTTCTACTGCATTAGAGACAGACATGGCTCTCTATAGTAATCACTGCATGGGCTTAGGAATACATTAGTAAACCATGGTCAATGGAAAAAATAGACAAACTGAACAGACCTAGGCACTCTGCTGGGGCCTAACTTAATTAAGACAGACTGAGGAGAAATGGAAAGTTGTCCTGTGGTCATTTTCTGCCTGGATAGGCAGAAGAAAACGGATGGTGGTCTGGTCAATCAGAATCTCAAATTCTTTATGGAAACCGTGAATGTTGCATCCTCCGGGCTAAAGATGAGAAGGACCATCCTTCTTGCTACAGGCCTACAGCTCTGCTTATTTAAACAATGCCAGAGGACTGCACATTTACCCAATCCTGATGTGAATTTAGCAGGTTTTGGGTGACTGCCCTCCCCCACAACTCACCGGTACTCTGTCAGGATATTTGTTGCGTATTTTGGCTGACTCCACACATCGGTGCTCTGAAGGAGAGACAGGAAACAAACAGGAAGTCAGAGATTAAAGGGCTGAGCGAGGCCTCTTGGGATTCCTCTGGCCTTTCAAGCCAAGGCTAGTCAGATATATCGGCTCAAATGCACATTCAAGCACAGCATTAAGGTTGACTGCAGTTTACGCAGACAGAGCGGCGGATGCCTTCTAACATCAACTCACAGTGTGATCATGTGTGTTAAAGTGTTAAAGGCATTACTGTCACAGATCAGTAGTAAGTCACATCAGCAGCTTTTATTAAGTGATTATTATATCAGGAGGAGGAAAGAGCATCTATTGGAGGAAAGACTGCATGCAGCAGGGAAAACAATGAACAGAAGTCAGAGAGGATGAGGTGATGGGTGAGAAGATGTGTGCTTCATTTAGGTGCACACTTTCATTAGCCCAGTTAAGAGGCCTACTTTTGCTGTGTGTTTCTTTAAAAAGGAACTTCGAGATTATCTGAAGAGAGTATGGAGACAAAGGCTGAGGAGCAAAGCCGTTCCAGCAATCTAAATTTGGAGAGAACTTTACACCAAACTCAGTTCCAAATTCTGGCACATTATTAATAAACATAATAACACTTACACTGTTTGTGTTAGGTGTTACCAGCTCTGAATCACTGAGGAAGCCCTCTTCAGTACCCATTTAAGTTATAAGGCCTAGTTAAATAGACCCAGGAGGGGGTTACCCAGCAGCATGAACCAACACAAAAAGTTGTAGCCCTACTGCATACAGCCGAATTTGCCACAACAGTCCCTGACAGCCCTTAATCATGTTATTACCACAGGGTTTTAAGTAGTGATTACATATAGGCAAAGCAACATTAAATTGTGGGATTTTTAAATGCATTTTGGTTAAGAACATGCATGCAGTGGAAAAACACATTTCAGGGTAGGATTGATTGGATGCATCAGGGATATGAAAGGTGAGCCGGATTTTGACAGCGGTCATAACACTTGCAAGAATAATCTTAGCATTAGTTGCTAGCCATGCAGCATCAGCCATCATGGATTTATATGCTGAGGCAAGCAATACATTTCTACACCTATATGGGATGAGATGGCAACAATGGATGCGGAGAAAAAGACAGAACGGAGGGTGCGTGACATGACAAGATCTCTCGTTTCATAACAATCCAAACCCCTTTACCGAGGGAATGGTCCTCTTTAAACATCCATTTCATCTTTGCTGGATCCCCGCACTGACGCGTGACGGCAGGGTCGAAAGGCGGGCTTCTGAATCTGCGGATAATGTCCAAAAATCCAGACAAAAGCGGTCAAAACAAAACGTCAACAACCCCGCTGAGCCAGGAGCTTTCAGCTGTCCGTCTATCAGGGAGGTGACGTCACTGTCTGACACAGGGGAGGTGCTGATGGTTTTGGTGCTGCCTTCAAGTGCTCTCAGTCCAGCTACGAATGCAAGGGTGTCAACCATAAGGTCCGGGGGCCATCTTCGGCCGGGCAAAGAGTGTAATCAGGCACATTGGGGGGTTTTGGAAAATGTGAAAGATGACAAATATTGGACTTTTAACTGTATTTTCATACCTTTTACAGCTTTTCCCACCTCATAGCCATTCATAACAAAGTAATTAAGTAACAAATAAGCAATTAAATGATGCTCTACTAGAGCAATTTATTGATTTGCAAAAAGTCCACAGACAAAAAAAAAATAATTAACAACTAAAACTTTCTGTTATATAATTACAGAACAGTCTGGGCAATGAGATAGCAGAATTGCTTCTGTAATTTTACACATGTATTTTTTTTTTTTTACAATATAAGCCCAGAATCATTAAGGCTGGTGTTACTTTTTCACTAACTACAGTACAAAAACGTTATCATGTAGAAAAGCCGATTTGGACTGTAAATGTGCAGTTAAACCTCTGGTCAATGACAATAAGCAGAGTTTCACTCATCTGGCCCACTTAAGATCAAAGTGGTCTGCATGTGGGCCACAATGTAAAATGAATTTGACATCGGTGCTAATGCATAATGAACCCATCCAACCATCCATAATAATAACAACAACAATAATAATAATAATAATAATAATAATGATAATAATAATAATAATAATAATAATAACAATAACAATAACAATAATAATAATAATAATAATAACAATAATAATAATAATAATAATAATAATATTAACAAACACAAAATTATCTTTAATGATGATTTATTTTCTATTGTGTACAATTATATATTATGTAGCAATTAATGTCTTATTTTAAGATGAAAACTACCACACAGAATTTCATTATGTGACTGCATAGTGAAAAATAAAGAATATTTAGATTGGCATGTAAAGGGAAAATGCAAAATGAACAGAAAGTGATAGAAAAAACCCAACAGACACGTGTTTGCAGACATACCCAACTGAAAACATAGGCAAATACAGGAAGTGGCCTGAAACGGGTGCAAATTGACGAGATGCAAAAAGACACAAAGTAAGAGACACAAAACCTCCTCAAAGAGAAACTAAAAAATAATCAGAGACCCCCCTATCCTCAAAAAGATTGAAAAAAAACCCCGCAAACAACTTGAAACAGACACAAAAAGGGCCGCAAAGCGAAGCAAACTGATGAAAACGGTGATGAAATTACTCAAAAGTCAAAATTACAAGAAATAAATGCACAATAACCACAAAAATATAGAATCCCTGCCTGTAATGCGTTTCTGCTTCTGTACACGTTTTGTGTGTGTGTGTGTGTGTGTGTGTGTGTGTGTGTGTGTGTGTGTGTGTGTGTGTGTGTGTGTGTGAGTGACCCCTGCTAAGGGTGCTCCTCACCGTGCTGGTATCGCGTGAATGCAACACAAACGCGAACACTGGCAGCCATGGTAACCGCCAGACGCTAAGCTAGGAAGGAACATGGCGCGGTACTAGGTGCTAACATAAATAGCATGTTAATTCACTGTGTTTTTGACCAGTGCCCTACTAGACTCACTTCATTACGGAAGCGGTTAGATGACTAAGGGATAATTTGTGCTTGCTTAGCATTTTATTGTCGGTTTGCCCACGCTGATCCTCCGAGGGCTTTCCGTCGGTTTAGCATCTTTGCTATCTGGAAGACTGAGCTGTTTATACCTCCAGCACACTTATGGCTTTCTATGAGGTGTACTCTCACCCGGCTTTGATTCGGTACAAAACGAGCGTGTGCACGAAAGCCACGCTGTTCCTGGTTGTGGTTCTGTGCCTCACCTACATCCCGCCTCTGCTGGTTGCTTACAGGAGCCAAGGTACATTTACGGTCCAGAAACTCTACATGCGCTCTAAAAACTACACCCTTTAACAGCAACACATGCCACGCTAATAGAAGCAAAATATTTGTTTGCACGTCACTCATGGAAAAACACCCGGGTTGCGCCACGCCATGGAATTTTCATAGATAGATTTTGCTGGTAGGGCAAAATCCAGTGGCACTTCCTCTATTCTCCCAAGGCTGTTAGGTATCAAAGCATGGGATGAAGTTTTAAATTACATTTATAAAACTCCCGATTGAAGCTTTTATACACCTATTAAGATTCATTTTGCACTATCAGACTTCATTTATCTCTGTCAGGAATCACAGGCTCCCTGTTTCTCTTATTGCTCTCGTATGACTGTGAAACATGTTAAAACGCTTAATTCATGTCTGCTTTAAACAGAAAACACATAGAAAGCATTGTACGTGGTTGTTTGATTGGCAGTAATTATTTTCATATTTACTGATAAACAAGTGGTTGGTGGTGTCCATGTGTAAAATGACAACAGAGTTGAAAACAGAAGCCTTCAGTGACATCATCAAGCTGCTTCTGTTTTCTAAATGAGGATAATTTAAGAAATGTATTTTAGTATTATTTTCACTGACTTTGAATACAGCATGGTTGTTGGAGCCAGACCGGCTGATTTGGGTCTTTCAGAAACTGCTGATTTACCGGAATTTACTGGGATTTCCCCACACAAAAATCTCAACTCCAGTCTCTTGACCTCCAAGGAGTGGTCCAGCAATTCATTTATTTATTTATTTATTTATTTATTTATTTATTTATTTATTTATTTATTTCAAATGGGTGCTAGTCTGATTTATTTTGCATATGTCTGTAATTACACCAAGTAAGTAGTTGTAGAAAACTGAACAGTTTGAGTGGTACAAATACATGCTCCTTGTTCTCAAACTTGTTTTTAATTTTAGGTTTTTGGATAAAAAGGAGCACTTATGAGGAACAGCCAGTTGTGAGATTCCAGTATCAGACTCTGCTTGTTGCAGCAACCAGTACTAGGGGAGAATATGTCGCCTGGAGCACCTTCCCCCAACTTAACAACATGCTAGGAGCCAACCTCCGGATTCCTGCTGTCACTGTAAGAATGTGTTCACAACACGCCACTCAAATCAGGACGGTGCTTAAGTTCTCTGGTAACAAACTACAGCAGAATCGATCCTGTTTTAATAGAAGACATGATATTTAAGTAATGAACTAAAGCACTGTGTTCACAGTTGAGTTTTTTGAGCAGATGACTGGATTGGATTAGATGAGATTAGACAGGTGATTAGAGTTTATGCTGAAATCAGAATTTAGAAGTAAGAAACTTGGCCGTGGTGTAAGCTTCATTTTCGTGCTCATTCTGTGTATTTGTGAATGGTGCTTGTGACCAAAGTAGCTGTTAGTGAGTGCATCAGTGTTTTTCATCAGTAGGACCCAAGCAGCAACTTATGGGGCTGAGAAATGAACATGCAGTTCCCCTGATTCCCTTTTGGGGCCTTCTCAAAGAGTAAGGGAGTCTCCATAGACTCCCATTTAGTGCTGTGGGGAGTTTTTGTCAATGTCACAAGGTTGCTGTTGAATTTCGTTTATGTGGCTGAGCCGTTAGCTTGCTTTGAATTAGGAGGCAGCTTTGTTAAGGCGAGTGTGTCCAGTGAAGCAATGTTTTTCAGGTGGGCCAGTTAAATGTAAATTTTGCTCGTTTATCTCAGGATGGTGGTGCATGAGATGCAGCTTCTTGTTCTTGTTTTTAGTGATTATTACATTTATTTAATGCAATATCAATATTTGGTGTCCCCACGTTGATACAAAACTGCCTCACAAAATCAGTCAGTATAGAATAGCTGCAGATTTTGGCATTTATGTATTGGTTTAATATTTTTCAGCTCCAATACGAACTTGTAATAAATGTAAAAAAACATTAGGTAAGTCTGCATTGTACCATCACAAAAGTACCGAAAGGCCTCACATGGCAATTACTTTGATTTTCTTATTTCATACAATAATTAATGATTTCACTGTGTGTAATACATTAGAAATGTCAATTATGTTATTTTTCCTCGTAGTCCAGTTGCTCAGTGAGCAGTTTGAATTTACTGTCATTGAAAAGCTGGAAAACGTATTAAGTAGCGAGCCCTGGTTTAAAAAAGTGTCCGTTCCTGCATAATAAACATCATGTTTGTACTGAACAGTGGACAGATATGATTTTTTTTACTTTTAATAACAGTAGAGTCTGCTTTGTTCTTCTGTGACTGCACTTTGCAGGTGAGAGAAGAGGACCAGAACCAGGATGGGAAACTGGACCTCCTGGTCTTTCAGCTGCAGCTTCCTCTGAAACCCAATGAGCAGGTGTACAGCATTCAGCTGCTGCTCACCTTCAGCTACCAGCTCTTTGTATGTATCCCACAGCATTACCCACTCGCACAGACACTCCATGAATCTGTTAAGCTAGTTAGTGCAAATTAAAGGTTGCACATTGGGCCATAAATAACATGGTTCACCACTAAAGATGCTCCAAAAAGGCACCAACAGCAATAAGATGGCCAAGAGGTCCACGTTACTGACTTTAGATAGTTTAGGTTTGACCTTTCCTCCGTAGGAAACACCTTTTAATCAGACAAGGCTTTCTACTAACTTTAAACCTGAGAAGGAGCCATAAAAAGTTTATTTCTTTCACTTACGAAACTAATGTTATGAAACGTGATAAAACTTGTGAGGTAATGGTGGGGCTGGAGCTAAGAGGCACAGATAACCACGTGATTTTTATCAGTTTTAGTAGCTTTGGGGATTTTTTAAAAGCCTTTTAAGCAGTTTTAAATGTCAATATTTCTCTCACTCTGCCTGCTAAAAATAGAATTAAAGCTGCAAGCAGCGATGAGAGGGCCCCCGTACCCTGGCGTATATCCAGGTGCGCTGCGGTTGAGCCATGCTGGACACCTATGCCCACTAGGTGGCGATGGAGAATAGCATCTAAAGATCTCTGAAGCATATCAGACGTTGAACCACAAGTGAAGACGGGAAATAACCTACTGTGTATTTCCTGTCTCCACTAGGTGGCGCCATAAGTGTGACCTAATATTGGCACACAGATGTCTCTAGACTCGCATCGAGGCTGTGAAGTTTGGGACATACTGGACGATGTTTAGCTGAGATTTGACAATGTCGTGTCCTGTGGCGAATGAGTGAAAATTAGCGTGCCGCCAGGACCACGCCTTTTCGTGAAAATTCAAAAGCTTTGCAATTTAACATCACTGAAGCCTTTAGATTGTACTCACCAAAGCTCATGTAGATCTGATAAAAACCCTAGGAGGAGTTAGCTAACGTACGAGGCCTGAAAATGGACGAAATTGCCGCAAAATTCCACTTTAAATTAAAAATGGCTGACTTCCTGTTAGGTTTAGGTCAATGGGCCCCTGGACTTTTTGTTTGTCTCATGTTATACATGTTTACCAAATTTGACTCATGTAGCTCAGCTATGTGTCTGTAGTACTTCTTAATAATCAGCATCGGTGGCGCTCTAAAGCCATTTTGAAACGCTTAATCTGTAAAATATGTAGATTTTATGTAAATTTTCAGCAGATCTGAGGCGTATGCACAATGTCACGAGTTTTTGAGCCTCAAATAGGCGATTCATTTGCCTGAATATTGATAAACAACAGAGCAGATACAATAACCTTCACACTTTTAGTGCTCGGGCCCCAATTATTACATGTGTAAACACATTTTTCCAGACAGGTAATAAATATTACCTATTTAATAGCAGGTATTTCAAAGTGCTGTAAATAATAAAATGTGGCCTTCAGTGTGACAGCACCAAAGTAGGGCCTTCAGGACCGTCTACGGCTGGTGGTTCAGCTAAAGCAGAGCGTAATATTTGTTGTTGTTGTTGTTTTCCCAGCGGATGTCCACCGTGGTGATGCAGAGTCTGGCATACATGCAGCACTCCTCTTCTGTCCCCGGAGCTAAGCTGTTCATCAGCGGAGACCTGAGGCTGCAGCAGAGAACGCCTTTGCCTCACAGGGGGCTCTACAATATTTATAATGTAAGAGGACACGGGATCACCACCTTTTTCTCTCGCTACACCCTTTAGAGTACATGAGTGCTTTGCTACCACATTCTGAGCCTGGAGCGGAGCAGAAAGGCACTTTTAAGATCTGATATCCAAAAGCTTCGTGCTTCAGTGGTTAGTGTTATTGTAGTATGCATGTGTTTGGTTTGCTAACAATGTTTGCTAATGTTAAATTAAACACACCAACCACATCCCAAGTGTCTTGCTTTACAAGAAGGGTCATTCACAGCAGAACAGTAGCTTCTTATCTTTTCTGTCTCCTGTAAAGGCGTGTATTTGTTAAGCACTCACTGCCACTGTGACAGCCCACTGAACGCGCTTTTAAACTGGGTGTACATGATGGTGTCAGAGAGGCACCTGCCCAAATTTGTATCCATATGGTGTCATTTTTTAGAATATGTGTGACTTAGACATCCACAGCAAATGTAACTCCACATAAAACAAAACAAATCTGCATAAAATACTCCTGAAGTATTAATCTAAAGTTTACTTCAATATCAGAGTAATTCAGCTAGTGATTTTAGCCATCGCAATAACCCCGTATAAAAATATATTTGCAGTACACCATGCATCTTTGCTGTGTCAGTGTTAATACATGCTGTGGGGGATGATTATACGTTAATGTGCTGTTTTCTCTTCCTCCGCGTTGATGCTAAGGTGTCGGTGATCGATGGCTCCAGCCCTTTTGCGAGCGCGTATGACCTCGAGAATATAATCAGGAGCTACCAGAACAGAAACTGTGAGTTGACAAAGGCGCTGCTCTTGTTCGGTTTAATGTAAATTTAGTCAAATTTTGCAAGTGTGTATTTTTTTTTTCCTGCCACAGTGACCACAGTGCTGTCCTGCCCAATCCCCGTGTGGACTATAGGACGAGCTGCTGCTGCTCCCTTTGAGCTTAAAGCTGAAATCCGCTACCCTGTGGAGGTCATCAGATATCCTTTTGATAAATACATTAAAATGGACATGTTTGTTTTCACATAGAGTAACCTTCAAAAAAATATATCTTTGAATACTTTCTATGGATAAGGTTTATTTAAGGTGGGACGCTGCAGACAAAGCATGTTTTTTTCATGGACTGTTCAATTTTGAGCTTCCGAGGTATTTTATATAGTCTTGTCAGTCCTCTGACATGCTTTTGAGATGGTAATACAAAGGAAATGTCCAGAACAAACACTGAGGTGCTTGTTTTACACCTCTGGTAATGCACATGTATGTAAATTACTGTCATTTCCCAATACAAAACTTTAACAGTCATTTTGGTACACTCTGACATACTCTTCCACGTCATTTGCATACACCAGAGTTTCCTGTTTTATTCCTGCCTGTATCGTGATGCTTTGTATGGCCTTTTTGGCTATAGAATATAGATTTCATTGTGTATTTTCTGATTCATGAAGCGATAAAGAGAGATCTCAAACACTACCTCTATAAAAACCTTGAACTCATTTGGGGTGATCCTTCATTTGGACATTTGTGAAACCTCGTAATGTAAAAAATGATTATAAATAATTTAAGTAAACTTTCTGTCAGTATATGTTAGCTCCATGTCTCCAGAAGCCCAGAAACATTTCATAATAAAAAAGAGGTTTATGATCAATTTTATCTCATGTAAGTAGGCTTTTATTGGACATGTTTTCCACAGCAGTACTGTGCATGCATAAAACTAGGAAGGTAAAGGGAGGCTGTAGCAGCAAACCTCTGAATGTTTATTCTCTGAAAAATCAAATATTATTTCATCTTTACTCAATCAGGCGTCACATAGCTTTGTTGTTCAAAGCACTGTAAAATAATTCTGCAAAATCACTGCGTCAGAAAAAGTAAGTAAAATGAATGTGGTGAGTTAGAATAACATGCAGTAGCTTAATTAACTAAGTGCTTTAATTTAGCCGGTAATTCAGCTCCGTTTGCATGATATTAACATTTTATGTCAGGAGACTGGGATGTCGTTTTCTTTGTCCCATTCAGTGCTTTACTTATTCACATGCTAAACTTTGCTATGAAGTTTTGGGTGAAAGAAAAGTCAGGTAAAATTCAGAAACTTGTAAAACATGAGTACAGAAAATTTAGAGCAGGGATGTTAAACTCATTAAAGTGACTTAAAGACTTGAAGAGCTTTTTTGTCATTGTAGTTATACAACAAAATTTGTTTGGTAGCTCACAGAGGCCAGCAGCAATAAAACAAGAAACAGCATAGTAACATAATACAGTCACATTATACAGTGGGCCACATAATAATGGATTGGATTTTATATAGCGCTTTTCAAGGCACCCAAAGCGCTTTACAATACCACTATTCATTCACTCTCACATTCACACACTGGTGGAGGCAGCTACAGTTGTATCCACAGCTGCCCTGGGGCAGACTGACAGAAGCGAGGCTGCCATATCGTGCCATCGGCCCCTCTCCAACCCACGCTCAGCCCACGCTCCAACGTTAAGTGGGCCAGAGGTGTTAGACTCCCCTTTCTGTCACTGTACAGAGGTTTAACTGCACATTTAATCCTGGAGATGTCTTAATATAAGAATAAGAAGTGCAAATACAACATTACATTTACGTCATTTTTCTGCACCGTAGAGAAACAGATGTGTAAAAGTTAAAAGAAAACGTTCTGGTAGTTCATTGTTCTAACATGTAATTATCCTGAAAAAAATCTTCTGTCATTTAATTGTTTGTGTATTTTATTTAATTCATTTGGTGTAGTGTGAATGACCTTAAAAAAGGTCATTAGTAGTAGCAGAAGCTGTAAACCGTGCCAAAATACAGTTAAAAATTAAAAATGTGTGCCGTTGCATTCACATCTGCCAAAGCAGTCCAGAGGCCCAGACTGGAGTCTTTGTTGTTCTGATTCTAATGTTTGACACCCCTGATTTTGGGGTGTGGTGTCTAAATTTTGTCATTGTTTCTGCCTTGACTTCTCCCTCCACCTATCGCCCCGGCTTCTGGGAAACCATCAAATTTGCCTGGATTCAATATGTCAGCATCCTCCTCATCTTCCTCTGGGTCTTTGAACGCATCCAGAGATTTGTTTTCCAGAACCAGGTTCTGACAACTGTCCCAGTCCCAGTGGGAAAACCCCACATGTCATGATGGTAGTGCTTCAACCTCCTTATGCAGCCTGCCCACAATCTTCTTTTTCCTTGTTCTTCTTTGAACTTCTTTCTGCTGTTGCCTCTCGTGTGTTAACTCAGGTTTACAGTTAGCAGTAAGTGCTGCCCCATCATCGTCCAGAAAACCTGCTTTGGTGATCTGAAACACATTCACACATTAGGACCAGGCAGCATCCTCGCAACACCAGTACAACCAGCACCCATGCTGCACATTCAATTTTAAAACTGCTTTGATATTTGTTAGAAAGCAGAATCAGTCTGTCTTTTGTTGCACGCAGGAACTTAAAACACAAAAAGTAGTGTCTGAAAGGTTAGACACGTTCAAGGTTCCTTCTTTTGTGCAGAGACAACAGTGCACGTAGCGCTGATTGACCTGTGCTGGCACAACTCAACAGCTGCCTCTATACGATAAAGCGCACTGAAGTTATACGACTCACAGATGTCCCGTTATCTCGAACATCCATGGGCGTGGCAGTGTTGAAAACAAACTGTCTGCTGTAGTTAGGAATTTGTAGTTGGCAGTTTGGAGATATTTTTTTGTGAGAAACGGTTAGGAGTTTCTGTATGAATGAAATCCCATGTAGCAAATCTTGAAGATTTTAAAATTTTATTTCTTTTTTCTTTACCACCTGAGGAGCAATGGAGCAACCTCCTCTAATAAAGCTGAATAGTTGTTTCTCTGAAAAGTGGATCTCTTTCTTTCTGCTGCTGCTGTTTTCTAGCAACTGTTTAGGAAATATGAGCAGAGTTTGTGCTATTGTGTGAGTGTATGTGGCAGAATCAGTCTTTTGTGTTGTGGCATAATGGATAATAAATATTTTTTACAGTTTTAACTATGTGTGTCTGCTTTAACCATAACATGTGTGTGATGATTTCCTAAGAAATGAAAACTAAAACCTGTTTTTTTTTAAGTATTCAGACTTTTTCTGAAGCAACCTGTCGTTTTTTAATGTTTTGTGACTTTTTCACGAAGCCATAACCCCAACTCACAACAATATTTATCTTAAGACACTTTATATCATAGGGTTAATAACCAATGAGCTAATGATCTCCTGTGTGAAAGCACTTCAAAGGAGTTCACAACAACCGAGCTAATGGAGGGCTGCCAGTAACCAGAGATCATAAATGTGCAATCTTAGCATGTGAAATACCAGAAGGAACTAAGTGTGAGAAAATGAGATAATGTTAATCATGAGGTTCAAAAGAATTAATGGTTAACCGATCCTATCATCAGAATATTTAGACAGAGCAAATGGCCAACACAGCTCGAACTGGCTGAAGGATGATTCTCTCCCTGTCTTGGAGTTGTCACAGCCCTAATCCTCAAGATTAGGACAGAAGAATTTTTCTTTGTGTGTTAGGAAGCATTCCTGGTGGTGCAAAAACCAGTTTCTCATTAACATTTAGTCTTGGAAATAAAAAGGTGACAAGCATTTCATGTTTTATTACACATGTCCTTTAAGCTTTGGTGCTTGGAGGAGAAGCAGTGTGTGTGTTGCTGGTTGGCTTGACCGATGTTTTTGTAGCAGTCCAAGCTCCTCTGTGTCTCTCCCCTTTTGGCCATTCAGGGCTTTGCACAAACAGCAGATGTTTTTATTCAGTGTGCGTACAACATGGACAGCCAGCAGACTGTGAGCAGGGTGGTTTAGAATGGCCAACTTCACTTTCAAGCCTTTTAATATGTCACCAAGTTCTCACTGTTAATTGCAAAATTCATGAAACACCCCCCATTTCTTTATTTGTTGATAAGATAATGGGAAATTGGAGCAGCGATTTATTGATACATCTGCAAACATACATGGAAATACAGATTATAAGGCAAAAATAGAGTCTGTATAAATCTAAGTTTGAAAGTCAATATTTAGTATGACAACTTTTTAAACCAATTATATAGATAGTTTGGCTTCTTGACAGCATTGAGAGAATTCCTGATCAGGCTTCAGTAAACAGTAGATGAATTGGATCAATTGACCTCTGATTACCTCTGTCTCTGATGTCTGTTACCCCCCATTTTTTTAAGGACAACCTGTTCAGATAACCCTTGTGCACTTGTCCGGGTTCCTTAAAACTTTTAATGATACAGGTGCAGAAACACTGTTGTTATTTTGGGCATTTTTCATAGGTTTAACTAAATAAAAGGCAACAAATGATGTTTTCTGAGATACACTGCTAGTAACAAAATGCCTAAAGATACAATTTAAAATTGGTTCTTTGCTAAGTTGTCTGTTATGTGTAGTAACCACACTGGTTTCTACACACACTGATTTCTACACACTGGAAACCACACTGGTTTCCACACATCGAGAGACTGAGCTAGGAGCCTTTTGATGGTTGAATGATTTACAGATCGGTGTTCAGTGGATTTAAAAAAGTATTTCCTGAATGCTTAACTTAAGAACACTTTTACACATTACAGGAAAATCTGGCCCATTGGGAACAAAATATGCAGAAACAAAGGGTGACTCGAGACATTTGCACAGTACTGTATCTTGCACACTATTAGCAGGCTCTGTAGTTACTTCATTTTGACTTTGGGCGTATAGGCTGCAGTACTGCACTCTCTTCCTCCCTGTGACTCATCCTCCACGGAGAAGTTTTTTAATGTGTGCATGTTTGTTTATGTGGTTCTGTGCCTGTACCACAGCATTAGCTCATTTAAACCAATCAGTCAAAGTTTGTGCTGGACGAAACGATTTAGTAACACCCAAGCAGCTCAGCAACTTCATCTCAGAAAGATCATGTCTTAACCATTCTGTGGGTACTACCTTTTATTCGTTCTCAAGGTCAGATTATCTGAACATATAAAGTCTTGGCTCACTTCCTGTTGATGTCATTATCTTTATCATAAACGTGCTGCATGCTCTTAAACAAGAAAAGAAAAGGTGTTTTATTATCAACTAAACTTTACCCAAGAGACACAGAAAGGACACGCTGCTGCTATATTTGGTTAATGTTTCATATTAGTCGATTAGATTCATTATTATAAGGATGTTTTTGCATCACCACAACAGCACAAACATAAAGTAGAATATGTGACTGGAATATTATACCTGACGATCCCAACTTAAAGCCTTAAAAAAATCAAATGGGTGCGTTTTTCTGACTAGGATGCCTGTTTAGCTTAAGAGAGGTGGACTGCTGTCCTCACAGCCTCACAATTTTTGCTTTTTATTGTTTCATTCATTATGCTGATGATTTGTGACTTTCTATGCACTGACAAAGTACAGGAACATATTTAAAGGAAGACGTTAGCAAAGAAAGGTGGGATAGTCAAGGAGATGAAGAAAGTTGGCAGGAGTGCTGAGAGGGTAGGTGTACGGCAAAGAGAGAGGGTGCCAAAGGATAAAGGCTTATGGGCATTGCATGTGAGGCTGGGCACTAAGGAAAGGACTATAGGCACAGACACTGAGCTGGAAAGGATGTGTACTGAGTTAGGGTGGTTTCGGATAGAGATCATAATGTACTAACAAGTGAAGAGAGTGTGCTGAGAAGATGGAAGGAGTACTCTGAGGAGCTAATGAATGATGAAAATGAGAAAGAGAGGAGGATGGATGGAGGAAAGTGAGTCAGGAAGTGCAGATTTCACATATTACACTATGAAGAGTGGAAAGGTGGTTCAGATGGCATGTCTGTGAAATATGAAGATCTTTAGGAGAGATGGCTTCTTTTAAACAGATTGATTAACATAATTTTGGTCAGAGGATTCCTGAAGAATAGAGAAATCCAATTTCAAGTTCAAGGGTGACGTGCAGAGCTGCAGTAACTATGGAGAGATAGGGGTAGAGTCCCAAGAGAGGAACTGCGGTGCTGCATGAGGAAGTCAAGACTGACAGAGAAGTCTGTAAGGACGGACTTGTAGGAAGAAAACGCACAAGTGTTGAGGCATGCAGTAGGAGTGACAGATGGATTCAAGGTCGGGGTGGAAGTACATCAGGGATCGGCTCTGAGCATCTTCTTGTTTGGAGTGGTGATGGACAAGGTAAATTTAAAATACCTGGGATCGACCAGCCAAAGCAACAGACAGTGCACGCAAGCGGTGATGAAGAGTGTTGGGTGATTTGTAACAGAAGAGGTGGTAGTGAGGCTGGTATGAGGTAGGGTTTGGAGACAGTGGTACTAACACAAAGACAGGAGTGGAGCTGAAGATGTTAAGATGGGAGTGATCAGGAGGGAGATTAGAAATGAGCACATCAGAAGGAAAGTTCAGGTTGAATGCTATGGAGACAAAGTAAGTGAGGCTGGGATGGTTTGCACATGTGCAGAAGAGGAATAGCTGATTGGGCAAATGATGTTAAGTATGGAGCTGCCAGGTCAGACAAAAAACGAGAAAATCCAAAGCAGGTTAATGGATGTAATGAAGGAGGATGTGTAAGGGTTGGTATGAGAGAGGAGGATCGTAGCGCTAGATTGAGATAGAGGCAGATGGTCCAGAATGGCGACCCCTAAAGGGAGAAGCTGAAATTAAGAAGTTTTGTTTCTACCTTAACTTTAATTTAATCTGTAATTTCCGGCTTTGTGCTTCAATATTGCAATCTGTTATTTTGCTTTTTATAAAGAGTCAACATAAATAAAGTTATTATTGTGATCTTATTAGTAACAATAGCTTAGTGTTTCTACAACCCTGTTGAATGCAATCTGTTTCCATGGGCGTATATGCAGCATCTTGTGGAAATCTCACCAATAGATGTTGAAATTATTAAGGATGGGCCAACAGGTCCATTCACAAAACAGGGTCGTAGACCATTGTTTTTTGGGAATGCAGTGACAAAGTAACAAAGAGCCATATAACCAATAACAGTGCTGGCTCACTTCAAACTGGAAGTCTCCTGTTTGAATGAAAGAGCACTCTTTTTGACACCTTATTGCAACTGTTACAACTAATTCCACATCATTGCCCAAAGTCCCTCCTCCGCCTCCATCCAGCTCTTACTGGTCACCAAAAAGCTTTTCTTTCAGCTGCAGAGAGAAGGAAAACAGGATATGAGTCTGGGTCTTACAGGAAACAGGTGCATCCCTTGTTTGCATCTCTTTTTTCAGTGTTTCATTGCTTTTCCCAAGTTCCACTTTATTTTGCTCTAGAGACAGAGCATCAACATACAGATTTCTAATTCTTCATCCCAATGAAAACAATGCCAAAATAATCTCAAAGTTTTATGAAAACACTCCCAGCTATTAAAGTTTTATTATAATCAAGGAGAGAACATGTGGCAAATTTTGCTTATTTTTCACATTTTTTGCTTATTTTTAAAAAAATTATTTTTATGTTATTACCATTTTTGTCAGAGCAGCAAAGTAAGAACTTCTGCTTCACTAAATTCCACAAGAAAGGAAGACACTGTGACAGCTGGCATAGCGTGAGAGGCCTATGACTGGTTGCCAGTGTGCTGCAGGGCTTGCAAAGAGAGACAGACAACCATTCACTCCTAAGGCCAGTATAAAGCAGCCAACTGACCTAACCAACACGCATGTCTCTGGGAAGAAGAATGAGAACCTGGAGAAAATTCATGCATGCACAGGGAGAATGTGCAGAGTCATAAAGGTCCCCAGCCTGGAAGTGCAGCCTGTGCAGTGAGGCAACATTGGTGCCATTAAGGTACCAAGCAAGTTATTTTCATTATCAAAAGGAGGAAGTGGGGAATTAAAAATCAAAATCATTTGAAATGTGCAAATTTGCTATGATTTTCACTTTCTGTCTTGGTGATTTTTGTCATTATTGATGCTGTTAAAGTGGTGGATGTTCATGTTAAACATAACCACCAGACTGCTTTAAACAATCAGTTTTAGACAGTTTTTGTTGAAAGGGAGTAATGAGCTGAACATGTACTAAAGTACC